AACCTTTTCTGATGAAAAGAGTACTGTTAAGCTTCGGTTCTACGACAAACAAGCGTTGTCCCTAACTGCTGGAACTGTAGTTTAACCTTACTCGGGTAAAAACACGTGAACTAGCCTGTGTTCCGTTTTATCCCGAACTACGTTCGCTCTGATCTCTCATGCTTGTTGAGAGTACGTAGGCACAAGACGCGATGTCTTGGCGAGCAACCCTTCCCCCATCATCCGTATTTAGCCGAACTACATTGACTCTGACTTTCCCATTGCATGAGGGAATACGTAGGCCCAGAGCTGCGATGCTCTGTCGAGTCCTTTTTCTTTTCTTTGAACCTAGACCATTAGCTAGATAGATAAACAACCCTTTAGATAAACAAACAAGCATGGATCTCGTTGAGTACAATGGGCGTGAGAGGTGTTAATACCTTCCCCTTGCGTAACCGACTTCTGAACCCAGAGATTTGGTTGCGATGACCGATCTTATCCCTTTTTTCTAGGTTTCTCCTGATCGTTTCCTTTCCCTCCTTTGGGATAAATAACGATAGGTGGCGAATCTTCTGTCTTTGTCGACAACTTTTTTCGCAGTAGCGACAAAGTCCTTCCACGGGCTGAGGGAAGTCAGTGGCTTGGCGGGCTCTCTGAAAGAGAAGTCCTCTGGTCGAAAGACGCATAGGGCCACTTGTAGTCCTACTTCGCCGGATGGAATCGACGCCTCTTCGACCTTCTTCACTTCGCGGGTCTCTGGCCGAGGGGCTTCTCCTCTCCGGGTGTACTATTTCAGATGCCCGTCTTTGATCGAAACCTTGATTGCATCTTGAGGTGAATGCAATCTTCTGTTACATGTCCGTGGCTCTGGTAGAATCGACAATACTTGGACTTGTCTGCGTTGGGCTTAGGGGTTGTCGCTTTTGGAAACCGGACACCTCCCCGTTGAAACTCTAAATTGATACACTCGGCCAAGATGCGCTCGCGGGAAGCTGTGAGTAGCGTGTACTAAGTAAACCGGCATGTTGGGCCCCTTTGTTCCCGGGGGCGATCTTCGTGCCTTTTTTGCTCGTTTCGTCGAGAAGGAGCAGGCGGGGTATCCTCACGCCGCGCGCTTTTGGTGGCCTCGTGGTTGCGCTCGACCTGAGTGGTGTTTGCAGCCTCTATCTCTTCATACTTGATGTGCGACTGAGCCATGTGGAGACGTGTGTTTAGAGTAAAGGGGCGTGCGAGGCCGATGGCTTTCGCGAAGTCGGAGTGCAGCCTTATGCCCCTCTAGATCAGGAACTTCTCCATGTCGTCCGTCGTGGACACTTGGACGGCCTCGCGATTGAACCTCTCAATGTAGTCTTTAAGAGGTTCGTTCTTCCTCTGAAAAATGGCCTCTAGGACCGCCATTATCTTCAGATGGCGTCGTGACGCTGTGAAGTGCCTGGAGAATCGACGCTCCAGTTCTCCCTATGAGGCGATGGAGTCGGGCGCAAGGCGCTTGTACCACGCCATGGCCCCTTTCCTCAAGGTGGTGGGGAACAACCTACACTTGATAGCTCCCTGGACGTTTCTGTAGTCCAGCATCGCGTCTATGCTCTCGATATGGTCATCTGGGTCGGTCGTCCCATCATAGGTTGCCAAAATCGGGGGCTTCTCCATCCTGGCGGGCAACAGTGCTTCCCTGATGGCTCTGCACAATGGAGAGTGTCGGGTGTCTTCGTCGCTTCAGACGGGTGACGGTGAGGGGGAGGTTGAATCTAGGTGGTTTCGTCCCCGACGTAGGCTCTTCGGCTGAGTCCTTGGTCTGGAAGAGATTGCAACTGCTTTGTTCTTTTTTGGGGCCGGGGAACGTTGCTCTTCTCGAGGAGGAGACCTGTCTCTCTTGTGAGAAACCGTCGGCTGGGGTCACTCAAGATGGGGACGGCGCCCTGCTGGTCAGGGCGACGGGCTCCTAGAATCTTCCACGTACCGTGTCTGCCATGGAAGAGGCGGGGGACTGAGGGAAATCTGGAGAAGGTCTCTCCGCGGGGGAGAGAGGCTAGCAGAACACTATCGACGGTGTCTTCTCGGGGGAGAGAGGCTGACAGAGTGTCGTCGACTGTGTCTCCGCGGGGGAGGAGATGGACTGGGAGAAACCGAGCGCTGTCGAAGGTGTCTCCGCGGGGGAGAGCGCGGCGGTTATTCTGTCTCGAGCATTTTTAGCCGTTCGTTCTGCTCGAATATCATCATGTTGGTTTGGTTAATCGCCGCGAACAAGGACGTGACAGTAGGATCGACGCTTGTCGGAGCCAAAATGGGTTGGTAGACAGCGGGGCTGTCTGAGCGCTGGACGACTTTGACGACCGTGTCCTCTGAGAAGGGAGAGGCGATGCGCCCGTCCCTGGGGTCACCTTCCTCGTTGTGGATGGCTGTGTTGGAATCGTGACCGTCCCCGTTGGGGAAGGGCGTAAAGGCAGATCCTGAAGCATTGTTATTGCGTGGGCTGGCCATGATTGGAATGGAAGTTGAAGGTTGATTTTGCTTTGGTTCTTGAGCTTCTGTGCTCGGACAGGAGAAAGAATGGGAAAGCTGAGTTTCCCACAGACGGCGCCACTGATCTTACCTGATAAGAAGGGATCAATGGTATGCCACGCGTCGTTGAATTGTAGCTTCCGCCGGAGGTAGGGAGAAGGAAAGGGGTGTACCTGCAAGGCACTCTGATGCTTAAGTAAGTAAAGGATCAGAGTGAGAGAGCAAATACAAAGAAGTAGGTGTAGAGAATATAATACCTGACCCTCTAGTGAAATATGATATTTATAGAGAGACCCTAGCGCAGGGTCAACGATTACATTGCATTGGGCCAGACTGCCAGGCCCAACCCAAGTAACTGCCAGGGCTTACGTGACACAGTGAAGACCAGCACGTGGTCTTCGCCCTAGATCAACTGCCCCGTGATCTTCGGAAGGTGGGCTGACCAACTCTTTCGGAGGTGGGTAGTTGTCAGATGACGTGTTCCTGCGTGGGGGAACACGAGGAGAACGTTGGAGAAATGTGTGAGTCTGTCCGTGAAAGGAGTCGTTTGTCCGACGTAGGTGGCTTGTGCCCGACATAGGAGGATTAGCCCTAATAACCAACAAATTTTTTATGGATGAATTAAAAAAAATTCCAAAAAAATAAACTCTAATTTTAAGACTTACCCTATAATTTTTTGAGCCAGACAAACCGACTCATTTGAGTTTGTTCATTTTTTTAGAGCTCTAAGTATTTGTATAGAAACATATATCAAATAAACGAATGTGGGTTGTAACCTAAAACAATTCACTTATTTATAAAAAAAATAATAAAAAATTAATAATAAACCACAAAAAATAAAAACAAAAAAAGATAATAAATACCTAATAGGCAAAGATGCAAGCACACAAGAAGAAAAATCAAAACAAAAACACTAATTAAAAAATAGTTACAAAAATTAGAAATTAGATCTCAGTCAATAGGAACTACCGTTCAGTTGCAAAAACAAAAAGCAAACTCCTAAAAACAAAAAACAAATTTTAGTAAAAAAACCTTTGATATTAATACTAATGTCAATACAATTCAAATACCTTAGAATATCCACTTCAAATATCACATTTGTGAATCTCTCTACCAACCTAATTTTTTGAATCCGAAACTTTTTCTTTTTCCACAAGATGAATGCATGTTTTCTCTCTCAAAAAAAGATACAGAAAGAATTTACTTTGACCAAAGAGCATGAAAACTCTTAAAACGTTACTACTAATAACGAAAATAACTTTGCATTTACCCGAAAATCCATCGAATGAGACGCACAAAATCACAATTGAAACCACAAAATCAAGAAAGAATTATGTTTGGTAGCCGTCATTGGTTACAGAATTACACGGCAAATATTTTTTTAACTTTTTAATTTTTTAATATAAAAAAAGAAAAAAAAATGGCGCGTCTCTTTCTCTCTCCCCTGAGTAACAAGCAAGCAATTAAACCTCCATTTAATGCAATTGCACCCTCTCAATACGCTCTGCAATTACTCTTCTCTGCCATTTTTTTCTCTATCTGTTCCCCACTCCCTCTCTATCCTCCTTCAATGCTCTCTCTCTTTCTCTCTCTAAAACAACCGTTTCTTTCTTCTTCTTCTAACCTTTTCTTATTCCCATATTAACCTTGTCAAAACCACCATCTCTCTTCTTCTCTTCAACAACTTTACACCACAGATCTAAACTTACTCCTTCGTAAGCTCATTTTCTCTAACATTCTTAACTTTCCTTAAGATTGTAACAGTTTCTGCAAAATGTGTGCGTTTTTTTTAATATTACTGTGCTTTTTATCTAGGGCTAGCTGAATATCTAAGAAAACGTTACACTATGAGATCTTAGACACCCATGAAATATGTAAAAGTTGAATTTCAATTTCTGAAGTGAAGAAAATCAAACCCTTGAGAAGCATGGTGTTTATGGTAGGAAAGAGTAGCGAAGCTGATTTGTTTGGATCAGGATCAACATCATCTTTGAATCTTGTCACTCTTTGACAGTTTGGTAGGTGGTGTTTTTATCAACTTTTCAACTCATTTTCTTCCTGTCTTTTTCTAAATATCTCTTCACTTTTTTCACTCTCATCTCTTCAATTCATCTTGTTTGTTGACAGAATATTTGCTATAGAAATTTGTAGTCTAATTTTAATGCAGAAATATATATATTTTTAATTTAATTTAATTTTTTAAAATTATTTTCCTTTTATCTTAACAATGAGTCTAAATGTCTAATATCCGTCTCGATCCTCTACATCCACGTTATTCACAACACCTCCACTATCAGTTTTTTTTTCTTTATCAGAAAAACAGAAAGAAAAGTTTAAATAAATTTATTTGATTATACACCAGAAGGAAAAGTTGATGTCTTTGTCTTGTTTCGTTATCGTACATACTTTATACTCTAGTTATTGAAGTTATAATAATTTTGCATTTTTTTAATTAGGTTGAAAAACTTTAAGACTTTAGAACCGTAAAGATCTGAAGATAGGTAGAAAGACTTATTACAATGTTTCAGTCAAACCTTTTGGAGGCTGGTCAGTTCCATCCATTAGAGATGATGCAAAACACTTCTGAAAGTGATGTTCCGCGAATCCGTGAAGATGAATGTTTCGAAAGTGCCACTAAATCCTACAGTGAAAACCATGAAGGTGGTGCTGCTTCTGGCGAAGAACAAGAACCACGCCCCAAAAGAAAACGTTACCACCGCCATACTCAGCACCAGATCCAAGAAATGGAATCGTAAGAATTGAGTTTTTATAATCTCTTTATCTTTTGAAGAAGTTAATTAAGTTTTTTTTTTCTGTTGCAGTTTCTTCAAGGAGTGTCCACATCCGGATGATAAACAAAGGAAGGAGCTAAGCAGAGAGTTAGGGTTAGAGCCATTGCAGGTTAAGTTTTGGTTTCAAAACAAACGAACTCAGATGAAGGTAAGTTTCTATTTTTCTACCTATAAAAAAGTATATTATGTTGTTGTTTTTTAGTGAACGAGGTGGTGTGTTTTGTTGCAGACACAACATGAACGTTCAGAGAATTCCCAGCTTAGGGCAGAAAATGAGAAGCTAAGGGCAGATAATATGAGGTATAGGGAAGCTCTTAGCAATGCTTCATGCCCTAATTGTGGTGGTCCTACCGCTATAGGTGAAATGTCATTTGATGAACATCATTTGAGGCTTGAAAATGCAAGGCTACGAGAAGAGGTACTTTAGTTTTGAAATTTTGTTTTCATGTGTCAAATTTGCCATTTTTCTCTATCTTTTTCTTTTCTTGAACATCAAAGCTAAACGTGAGTACAATAGATACTCTCCAAAGTCCAAAGGCTAAAAAGCACGAAAGTGTAACAAACAACTAAATCAATGGTACCACAAAAGCCAAAAACTTAAAGTTATGATTAGAGTCTATAGATAAACACTCTAATAGATTGCCACATTATTCACAATAAAATCATGGGTTGGTCTTCACACTTCATGAAAACCATCTTCATCATTAATACCCTTAAGAATACTCCCCTAGCTATACTAGAGTCACTTCCTCATAAAGAAAATGCATTCATTTATAATTATTATACATATTAGAAAATCTACACAGCAAGCTGGCAACAAGTTGCGCTGCCAATTCTTTATGGAGGGAAAAACTAATCTTAAAAACTTATAGAACCAACTGTTAAATTAGTAGAACTATCAAAAAATTGTACATCTAGATCTATGAGACAAAACATTAGAAGAGTTTTTACATTTATAGAGAAAGTTTTGTTCTATAATTCTAACAATTCATATATGACTGCAACACCATACAACAACAATAAAGGATCAATCCAAGTTCGTAATTTTGAATGCCACATGAAATCTAACCATTTCTTGTTATGCAGTTTTTTTCTTTAACATGTAACACATATATTAACTATAAATTTATAACTTTTTTTCAATTTTATCAGATTGATAGGATTTCGGCAATTGCAGCGAAATACGTAGGAAAACCAGTGGTAAACTATTCAAACATTTCACCATCTCTTCCACCGCGCCCATTAGAAATTGGTTTCGGTAACCAACAAGGGATTGGTACCATGGACATGTATGGTGGTAGTGGAGATCTTCTAAGGACATTAAGTGGACCCACTGCAGCAGACAAACCAATAATAATAGAATTAGCTGTTGCAGCCATGGAAGAACTCACTGGTATGGCACAAATGGGTGAACCTCTTTGGTTAAGTACTACACTTGATGGAGCTGCCTCGGTTCTTAATGAAGACGAATATGTTAGGTCATTTCCTCGTGGAATTGGACCTAAACCTAATGGATTTAAATGCGAAGCTTCTAGAGAAACTTGTGTTGTTATCATGAATCATGTCAACCTTGTTGAGATTCTCATGGATGTGGTATGTTTTACTATACACATTTTCTCTTTATTATTATCTAGTACTTTGCTTCCCCTTCAAACTTGAGTACATGCTTTTAAAATCGTGGTTGCGATCTAAATTGATCCATGTAGCCGACCCGATTTAGTGTGATAAGGCTTGATTGTTGTTGTACTATTTTTTAATGTTATGATATTAATTATGGTTCACTTTTTGTTACGTTTTAGAACCAATGGTCGACAGTGTTTGCTGGTATTGTTTCACGAGCTATGACTGTGGAAGTGTTGTCAACTGGGGTGGCAGGGAACTATAATGGTGCTTTACAAGTGGTACATAACAAAACCTTAGTTTAAAAAGAAAACCATCATTTTTTTGTTCCAAAATCACAAAAAAAATCAAAATTAACAAGAACGAATGTGATTGTAACGTTTGATTGTGCAGATGACAGCAGAATTTCAAGTACCTTCACCTCTTGTGCCGACTCGCGAGAGTTATTTTGTAAGGTATTGTAAACAACATACCGACGGGACATGGGCAGTTGTAGATGTTTCTTTGGATAATCTGCGCCCTAGTCCTTCATCCAGATGCAGAAGAAGGCCTTCTGGTTGCTTAATTCAAGAAATGCCTAATGGCTACTCCAAGGTTACTTATAAACCATTATTCATTCAAATTTTATTAGTATCTATGTGTAGAATATATATGCAACATTAATGTATTGAAATATATAGGTGACATGGGTTGAGCATGTAGAAGTGGATGACAGAGGTGTTCATAATCTATACAAGCAACTTGTTAGCACTGGACACGCATTTGGCGCAAAACGTTGGGTTGCAACATTAGATCGACAATGTGAAAGGCTCGCTAGCTCCATGGCGACAAACATTCCCACAGTAGACGTCGGCGGTATAAATGAATCATGAATTATATTTTATTGTTATTAGAATAAACTGTTAATATCAGAAACTAATGATTTATGAATTAGTGATAACGAACCAAGAAGGGAGAAAGAGTATGCTAAAACTGGCGGAGAGAATGGTGATAAGTTTTTGCGGTGGAGTGAGTGCTTCAACAGCACACACGTGGACAACACTGTCTGGAACAGGAGCTGATGATGTGAGAGTGATGACGCGTAAGAGTGTTGATGATCCAGGACGACCTCCTGGTATTGTTCTTAGTGCTGCTACTTCTTTTTGGCTTCCAGTTCCGCCTAAACAAGTTTTTGATTTCCTTCGCGACGAGAACTCAAGAAACGAGGTAAAGTTTCAGCCCAAGCTAGCTGCATATAACTGTTTGTTACTAGGCCAATTATTCAACAGTAGTCTCATTTGGTTTTTATCTTTTTAATTAACAGTGGGATATTCTTTCCAACGGCGGAGCAGTCCAAGAAATGGCACACATTGCTAATGGAAGAGAAACCGGAAATTGTGTCTCACTACTAAGAGTAAATGTAAGATCATATTTATGGTTTAACCGATTGAACTGAACAATGAAGTTTAACGTTAACGATTTTAATTTTGTTTAGAGTGCGAATTCAAGCCAAAGCAACATGCTGATATTACAAGAGAGTGTAACAGATTCAACAGGCTCATTTGTTATCTATGCACCAGTAGATATTGTTGCTATGAATGTAGTTCTAAATGGAGGAGATCCAGATTATGTAGCACTTCTTCCATCCGGATTTGCTATACTTTCGGATGGAAATGGAAGTGATGAATCTGGAGCACAAGCTAGTGGTGGATCGCTTTTGACGGTTGCGTTTCAAATATTGGTTGATTCTGTTCCAACTGCTAAACTTTCTCTTGGATCTGTTGCTACGGTTAATAGTCTTATTGCTTGTACTGTTGAGAGAATCAAAGCTTCTTTATCTGGTGAAGCTGCTTAATTCTGGTTCATCACTATTGGAGGGGTTTTCAGGTAACTAAGCTCATTGTGTATTTTTTCCATTCTTAATATAAATTCAATGTGATGCTAGAAACTCATGTCACATATATGCTGCAAGCTTTTATATTGCACTAAACCGCATATATATACAGCCACACTTACGATTATAATAGCGTTGCATAGACCCTAAACCCTAAATTCTATATGACCACACTTATGATTTTAATAGCGTTGCAGACCTTTATATTAAACTTGAATTGTGATTGCGGATTACAATACCATAGTTCATTGATATTCCATCAAATCATCAAATCATAAAGTATATTATGTTTTAAAATTGCAGTCTGCATGCAACTGTGACTGCAATATTGCCAATGCAGTAATTCAGCAACTGTATCGAACGGCGTGATTTAACGTCTTATGAATCGCATCCGACAATTTCGTATACTTTAAAATTTTTTTTTATCAAAACTCAATTTATTTTAATGTAAAGAAAAATCTAAATATTAAATAGTTTTCAAATGTATATTTGAAACACTTTTCAACAAAAACTTACGCTAAGCGAAGCGATACTCAACAACTGACCGCAATTACACCTTCAACCGCAGATGCATATGCAACCCACAACCACAATTTAAAACAATGGCATATATATATATATATATATATATATATATATATATATATATATATATATATATATATATATATATTATACTAGTAGTAGAAATAGGAAAGAGTATTAATTTTGAAATTATACCAACTTCAATTATTCGGTTTAAATGTTATTTTTAACTTTGTTGCAGTTTACAAGGCTAAAGGGATGATGCATTGCTTTGAAGAAGAAAAAAATCAAAGGTGGTGAGGAACTTAATTAGTCTTAATTTGCAAAAATGGGGGAGAAGTCAAGAGCGCACCCTGCAAATCCTTTCTTAATTAAGATGATTAATTAAGAGGATTAATTTAGAGGTTCGGGAATTGACTTCCCTAAATATAGTAAATGTTGAGCTAACACTGTCACCTACCTCATCAACCTTTTTTTAGACTAAATATTTATATATAGTTAGAGCTACTAGTACTCTTTTGCTTAACTTAGGATTTAGTATTGAGCTAAACTCTTAATTTAATTTCCTAATTTAATTCTTATTATTTGTGTGTTTTATAAGAAGGACCAGCATTGTGAGGGTTTTCACCTAAAACACACAATTGCTAAATTTCTTACTAGTATAACTCATTCCCTTTTAGGGTTTTGAGTTGAGTTTGTTTCATTCCTCTAAGTGAAATTGACATATTTTGTCTCTTGAATTATTAATATTTGTATTGAATTATTAAGGTGGTTGAGTTAACTTTAGTGATAGTCTTATCATATAATTAATTGAGATTAATTGTGAGGTACTTTTAATTAATATCATATTATGGGCAGGCTATTTATTATAACATCAAAAAGACATGTATTCTTTTCTTGACCAGGATTTGCTCTTAATGCTAATATGCTAGTATGTGTTTAGCTAAAGGTTGCTAACAAGGGCCATAAGTACCATTTAGAAGCCTTAATTATGAGATTGGTCAAAGCAAATTTTGAATGTCATTGTTAACAAGCTATTTAGGTCGTAGTCATTACTACTATTACAAGTCCAACTTTTATTTTCTTAAGAAAATTCATTTTCAATAAAATTTGGCTTAATTGTATTTTTAGTCTCCATACTTTGATGTTTTTAACCAATTTTTTGGTTTCTAAAGTTTATTTTTTTTTAAAGATTTTCATCAAAATTTAGATTAGTATTGATGATTAGGATAAAAAAAATAATTGTAATGACATTGAGTGACTAGGGAGATTTATTATTTAATATTTTTTATATAATTAATTAATAATTTTAATTAAATCTTTTTAGAAATTAATTAATTAAATTTTTTAAAAATTAGTTAATTAAAATTTTAAATAGTATTCTGGGCCACAAACCTATCATGTTTAATATCTAAATTTGCTAGTGGTAGTATTAATAAGTTATGTAAATGCTAATCACATTTGTTAACAGATCAATGTGGTATTTTAATGAGAAACAAAATTCACAATATATGCCTTCAACCTTTGTTTTTTTTCAATTTAACTGCAGAAAGAATTTATTCTTTTTGTTAAATTTGCTACAAATTTTTAGAGAGTTCTTAAGTATAATATGTAAGAAAAGAAAATATAGAACATCCTAAAAACTATAAGGTGTATAAATATGGTAGAATAATCTAGATATATAAGTATATGGCAAAGATAGAAAAATTTAGATTTATCATGATAATAACCTATCATGAGAACTCTAGAATATTCACCACCATTGAAAGGTTGGTGACTTGAGTCTATAAATAGACATTTGCTACATTGTAAACTATCATCCAAGAAATTAATCAAAAAACCTTCTTTCTAAACTACTCTCTAAAACTATCTTCTACCAACTATCATCTAAACAATTTCAAACAGTGGTATCAGAGCCTGGTTCGGTCATACATTGGGCGTAGTTATACTAATACCTACCATTTCAAAATCCTCCAAACTACTTCGAAATATTTCCCTTATACTATTAACCCACTACAATATTTTTTCTAAGCCATGGATAACACTACTCAATCATCAACTATTTGTGTCCCTATTTTCAATGGTGAAAATTATGATTTCTGGCGTGTTAAAATGGAGACATATTTTTCATCTCAAGATTTATGGGACATAGTAGAAGAAGGCTTCATCGCTCCCATAGATACTTCACCTCTAAATGCAGCTCAAGAAAAAGAGTTGAAGAAAAATAAACAGAAAAATTCAAAGGCATTGTTCACCTTGCAACAAGCGGTGACTGATGCAATTTTTCCAAGAATTATGGGAGCTAAGACTGCAAAAGAAGCGTGGAAGACGTTGCAAGAGGAGTTTCAAGGAAATGACAAGGTACGTGCTATCAAACTTCAATCTCTAAGAAGAGATTTTGAACTATTGAAGATGAAGGAGTCTGAGACAGTTAAAGATTACTATTCTAAAGTTAAAGAAATAGTTAATCAAATGAGAGCTTTTGGGGAGGATATTCTTGACAAGAAAATTGTTGAGAAAATTCTAATTACTATGCCCCCAAAATTTGACCCAATCGTGACAACAATAGAGGAAACCAAAGATCTGTCTACTCTATCAGTGACAGAACTAGTGGGCTCTCTTGAAGCATATGAGCAAAGACTACATAGGCATAAAGAAGATACACTTGAAAATGCCTTTCACTCAAAGCTCAAATTTAAGTCCCAAAATAAAGAAAATGGAGGAAAGAAAAATTATGGCGAAACTTCCAAAAGAAGAGAAGTTCCTAGAAATTTCCAAAAGAACAATCCAGATAAAAATATTCCATGCAATATATGCAAACGACTAGGCCACGCGGAGAAAAGTTGTTGGTACCGTAATATGCCACAATGCAATCATTGCAAGAAATTCGGGCACATAGAGAAACACTGTCGCAACAAAAATAGGCATCAAGCTAATATCCCAGAGGAGCATGATCAAGAACAATGTATGTTCTATGCCACTCAAGAATCAATCAAAGAAAAAGGAGGAAGTCGGTAATTGGATAGTGGATGTAGCAATCACATGGCCAAGGATGAGACTATTTTCAAAAGCATTGATGAGTCAGTCAAAGTCAAAGTTCGACTAGGAAATGGAAGTGTGGTTGACTCAAAAGGAAACGACACCGTCGTGGTAGAGACAGATAAAGGTACGCGACTCATCCATGATGTCTTACTAGTTCCCAGCCTAAAAGAAAATCTTCTAAGCATTGGCCAAATGATGGAGAGAGGCTACACACTTCACTTTGAAGGAGGTGTATGCAAAATCTTAGACAACAAGAATAAAAGGGCCGAGATAGCCGAAGTGAAGATGAATAAGAGCAATAGAAGCTTCTCGCTAAATTTAAAATATACAACTAACATTGCCATGAAGGTACAAGTTGATGATTCGTGGCTTTGGCATCGAAGATTTGGCCACTTCAACACACATGCCTTGAAGTTGTTACATGATAAGAACATGATGAGAGATCTTCCAAGCATAAAGGATAACAATGAAGTGTGTAAAGGATGTCTCCTTGGTAAGCAACACCGATTTCCATTCTCAACAAGCGGAGCATGGAGAGCAAAAGATCTGTTGGAGCTGATACATACTAACGTCTGTGGACCGATGAGGACGCCATCACACGAGAACAACAGGTACTTCATACTCTTCATTGATGACTTCTCTAGAATGACATGGGTCTATTTCTTGAAAGAAAAATCAGAAGTTTTTGGAGTATTCAAAAGGTTCAAGGCCCTTGTTGAAAATCAAAGTGGAAAGCGGATAAAAGTACTAAGAAGTGATCGCGGCAAAGAGTACACATTTCGCGAGTTTGATAGATTTTATGAGGATGAAGGCATAGAGCGACAACTTACAGTCGCATATTCTCCTCATCAAAATGGTGTGTCTGAGAGAAAGAATCGCACAGTTATGGAGATGGCTAGATCGATGCTCAAAGAGAAGCGACTACCTAACACATTCTGGGCTGAAGCAGTCTACACTGCTGTTTACTTACTCAACAGATGTCCAACTAAATCTGTACAAGATAAGACTCCAGTTGAGGCTTGGAACGGGAAGAAGCCATCAGCAAAGCACCTAAGAGTCTTTGGATCTATATGCTACATTCATATTCCAGACGTGAAGAGGCATAAGCTTGAAGACAAGACTATACGAGGTATCTTCTTGGGGTATAACACAATATCTAAAGGCTACTGTGTATATAACTTGCAAACAAAAAAACTCATCATCAGTCAAGATGTTGAAGTTGATGAGAATGCTTCTTGGAATTGGGATGAAGAAAAAGTGGAGAAGAATGTTCTTATACCCACTCAACTACCTCAAGAAGAAGCTGAGGAAGAAGTCCTAGGTGAACCTTCTTCACCTCCACCACAACAACAAGTTCAAGAACTATCATCACCAGAGTCTACTCCAAGACGAGT